GTATGATAAAAATTATTATCACTCCCGTCCCTTTCAGAATCTTGATGAAAATCTTCATTTGGTAAAAGTAACCCCCCCAAACACACACGACCCACCCCTGCCAAGGCCCACAATATAAAAGCTGGAGGCAAAACCTCTCAAGATTTCCATAGAACACCCCGTGGCAGGAACGGAGCACAAGAGGAAATCTATATGAGATCTGTAGAATCTTCATTAGTGCTTATTTTAAGCCTTCCTTCGTGGGAGTAAAGCAACACTTCAAAGGACTGGAAAATGCGTAGCCTTTGCTGGAAGATTCATCATCAGAGCAAGGAAATGCGTTGCATGTAGCAATAATGTGCGCTTAAACACCCCAAGCTGACTGACCGCAGACTTCTGCCGAGTTAAGAACTCGAGTAACAAAAATGGTTAACAGAGAGAAGCGAGTGGGATCGCTGAACTACTACGGCTAAGCTCGCCAAAAGCAAAGCTGGGTTTAACGGTCCCAAACTAGAAAGACACTGCTTTCTCTCCCTATACGCTCTACAGGGCTTTCCAATCCCAACAGCCCGGTTCTTTCTCCCCCTCCCCCCGCCCCCAAAAACAGGGGCCCCCGCAGCGAGAGGGGGAAAATGGCGCCCAGAGCAGCCGTCGCCTCCAGGGACGGCGATGCGGCGGGAGGGAAAGAACTTCTGCAAGCTCCGACCCCAGACGAAAAAAAAAAATTACATAACTACATAAATGATAATAAATAACACCCAGGTCCTCGGGCTAGGAAGAAACCAAGTGCCGCAAACCGCTTCTAGCGTGCGGCTACACACAGGGCACCGGGAAGCGCCTGCGTAGCGCTCCTTCCCGCCCCCGCAGATACCAGACCACTACAGGTGCCTGCCCGCCCCGCAGCCCTCCCGCCTTACTCGGCTTTCTCGCCCTCGGAGTGATCCGCACAAACCAGCCTCAGCGCCGCCATTTTACCCCCTCCCCCTTCGCCACCGCCATTACCAGCAGCGCCGCCCCGGCCGGTCAGCACCCCGCAGGGGCAAAGGCGACCCCCCCCGGATGGCGCACGGACTGACCTCCATAGCCGCGTGTCCCCCCTCCTCCAGCACCGCTTTCACAGTAGCTGGGCTAACGGGCACATCAAGTGATTTAGGAACTCGCCGCCCGCCATGCACGGCTACCGCAGCTTCCGCCTCCCCTCTCGGCCGCGCACCGGCCCCAACCGCCGCTTCCAGAACCTTCCTCCCCGCTAACGCTTCCTCTGGCGAAAGACATCCGAGCCCCCTCCCTACCCGCGGCAGCCAGACCTGCGCTAACCGGGAGCTCAAGCCCGCTCCTAACGCCCAGACCCGGAAAAATTCACTCCCCAACGCGCCACCCTCCTCTAAAAGCAAACTCTGAAATCTCCCTCTTCACGTACCATATTCTTCATGGTTTACGTGCTCCTGCTCAGGAGTACCGTACAACCGGTCAGTAATGGCTGCCTTAACTGTTACGTAATTTAAAATTCAGCTCCACGTAGAGCTAGCGCCCTCCTTCTCCACCGCAGGCTCGCTTCCGAGGTTTTCGTTAAAAAAAAAAAAAAAAAATTTAAAAAAACACGCTTGAAGCGGGAGCTTAAATATCTCCAAAGGGGCAGCGGCTCTGTATAACGCCCCTACGTGTTTTTATCACGTAATAAAAAGTCATCGACTCCGTTAGTAATGGCCGTCTCCGAAATGAGCCGAAGGAGCGGTCGTCGGCGAGCTTATCCGCTTCGACAGTCGCCGGAAAAAGCCGAAAGGGCGACGGAAGCCCATTCGTCTCCCTTCGGCAATTTCCGGAACTGGCCGAACGCAGCCGAGAGCGGCGCTCGGAAAGCGCTCGGCAACTTCCGGAAAAAAAAGACGCAGCATCCACCCTCTTCGGCAATTTCCGACAACGGAAGAGACTCGGAATGCGCGCCCGAGCGCAGCCGAACCCTCACCCCCCCCACC